CGGCAGGGCCCAGGGCGAGCCCCCTGCCACAGGCCCTGCCTCCACCTGCCTCGACTCCACCCCTTGTCCAAGCCCCGCCCCTTCTCCACCAGGCCCTGCCCACCCCTGCCACGCCCCCTCAGCAAAGTCCCCTCCCCAGAGCAATGCAAGCTGGAGGGTTACCAGGGGCCTGATTAGCAGAGCGCCAACGGCTCGGTTTTGTGTGTCTACTGGTGGTGCACATTCACATATGCCTCGGTGCACAGAGAAAAACATTATTCCGCACACATGTTCGTGGCGGGCCAAGGGTTAATGGGAATATTGCCTGGAACCCAACCGGAGGACGGCTGAGGTGGGGGGCAGTGAGGCAGGGAACCAGGCTGGGCCCCAGGCAGGCTGGGGGAGTGGGAGAAAGGCCCCCCCCAGGGCCAATCTCTGCCCCTCACGCTCGGCTTCTGTCTTCCAGCCTGAGCCAGGGGCCTGGGCGGTGGAGCTGAGGCGGGGCCCCATCACCCCCCGTCCCTCTGCAGGGTGTCCCGGCGGATCCGGGTCTGGCTGGACCCCGCACAAGGGTGGGGAGGGCACTTTCGGATGCTAGCAGCAAAGCCTCCATCATCAGCATCCCCACGGCCTCCTGGGGGGGGAGGCCTTCGCTGCTTTCCTCCCGACAGACTCCCCCCCCGCCCCCGGTACTAGACTCCCTCTCTCTCTTCACCCCATCCTCCGGCGAGGAGTTCCACAGGTTAACTGTGCGTGGCATGAAGAAAAAGCATCCTTCGGTTGGTTTCCAACCTCCTGCCTCTTCATTTCACTAGGTAACCCCTCCTCCTCCTTATTGCGGGAAGAGCTCAGAGCAAACACACCTACGAACGGCCAGGCCGGGTCAGGGTGCTGTCTGCCCACAGGGACCAAGGCCAGGTGCCCCAGAGGGAGGGAGCAGAACCGGGAAGCGTCACGGGGTCCCTCCCCTGTCACCCGTCCCTGAGTTGCAGGGTATTGGACTCATTCAGTCAAACTGCACCATACTTGGAAGAGCCATGGGAAACTGAGGCACGGGTGGGCCAGGCCAGCGGCGTCCATTGATTTGGCTGGCAGTCTCGGGCGCGACACCGCCTGCGTCAGACGCCCGTTCCTCCCCTCCCACGTGGGTGCCTCCCTCCGGCTAACCAGGGCTGTCCCCGGGGCCGTGGGCCTGCCCCCCGGCCGGGTGGGGCTGGGGGTGAGCCACTCAAGGCCCCCTTTGGGGGGGTCTGCCCCTCTGCCTGGCCATCCCCCAAGGCGGGACCAGAGGCTGCGAGTCTGGATCCCTGCTCTTCCGCCCGTTAGGGGCCTCGTTAGGGGGAGACCCAAGAGGGAAGGAAGCCAGCGGGTCCGGCAGCAAGACGAACCCAGTCACTCAGTCGCAGCTCCCCCCTCCCCCCCG